GATTAGAATAAATATGGCGCCCACAGGGCTTAATATATTTACCGACAGCCAGAAGGCAATTAGGGCGATATCAGGTGATAGAATTAAATCTAAGACCGTATTGGATTGTAAGAAAGCTTTAACTGAATACTCTCCCAGAGGTAAGGTTTACATCATATGGGTACCAGTCCACTCGGGAGTAGTCGGCAACGAAACGGCAAATGTAATAGCTTTAAAGGGAAGGGAGCTCGATGTAGTTAACCTGACAAACGCAAAACCATTCGACGCAACAAAAGCTGAATTAAAAATATGGATGAGAGAATCCCATAAGGCCTCTTGGAATAATGAAACGATAGAACCACAAAGATTCTATGGGGTGACCCTGATGAGAGCAAGACGAGAAATCTCCTCAAAATGAGCAAGTCTGAGGTTAGTATGATGGTACGTATTTTGAGTGGACACACAGGATTACGTGCACATCTATACAAAATTGGACGTGCGGATTCAGACGAACGAGCACTTTCTTTGCCACTGTCAGGCATTCGTCGAAGTTGGATCCAAGTATCTTGGAAGTGATGTTATTCCGGAAATAACATTCTTAACCAACACTGATTGGAAGATTCTTAGGAATTACGTCCAGGAAACTGAGTTTCTGAACATGGAAAAATAATACATTCAGTGAACAAATTATTTTTTTCATGAATTGGAGCGCACAACAGGCCCGATAGTGGCCTAGGTGTATTTCTTCGGATTTGATGTAGTATACATCCTCCTATCAAACTAACCTAAGTATATCTGAGGCAAGGTACAATTCAACGACAATGCTTTATTATGAAAACAAAATCGCATTTCATTTTTGTAACAGGTGTAGGGTATTATATGGTCGGCCTCGTCCGACTATAATTTCTTACTTGTCATATCTGGATAAACCAAATTGCATACAAAATGCCCTACACCACTTTAGGAGGGATGGTATATTGGGTTTGTGCTGATGTTTGTAACGCACAATAATATTGGTCCTTAAAGTATACCAATCGGCTTAGAATCATTTTCTGAGTCGGTTTAGCACATGACCTTCTATTGTCCCAGGGACGAAGCCTATTGAAAATGGTTAAGATCGGTCCATTATTTCACCTAGCCCCTTACAACTGAACCCCCGAATAGGGCTAGTAAACCTTGTAATCAAACTTTCGGAAGTGGACTTTATATAAGAGCTATGACCAATTACGGGCCTATCCGGAAAATTTTCGTAGAATGATTCATATGTACACAAAACATATTTTTGTCGAATTTTATTAAGATATCTTTATTTGATAATGAAATATGTGCGTGATTTTTTGTGGACCTTATATAGTTGCCATTACCAAATATGGACCGATCCGGAAAAAATTTGGTAGAATGATTTATACGCTCAAGACGTACTTTATCCCGATAGCTTTATTATTCAAAGAAATATATGCGTTAAAGTGATTTTTGTAAGTGGACCTTATATGGGAGCCTATCAGGAAAAAATTTCGTAGAGTGATTGATATAAAAACAAAACATATTTGTGTCGAATTTTATCAAGATAACTTTATTTGACAATGAAATATGAGTATTTAAGTGATTTTCGTGAGTGGGCCTCATATGAATCCGGAAAAAAATGGTAGAATGATTTATATGTACACAAAAGATATTCAAGTCGAATTTTACCTCTATAGCTTTAGAATTCAATGAAATATATGCGTTTAAGTGATTTTCGGAAGTGAGCCTTATATGGGAGCTATGACCAATTATGGGCCTATCCAGAAAAAATTTCGTAGAGTGATTTATATTTAGGCAAAACATATTTGGGTCGAATTTTATGAAGATAGCTTTATTTGACAATGAAATATCTGCTTTTAAGTGATTTTCGGAAGTGGGCCTTATATGGGAGCTATGACCAATATTGGACCGATTCGTAAAAAAAATTGGTAGAATGATTTGTATGTATATTCGACTCGAATTTTATCTCAATAGCTTTATTTGACAATGAAATATGAGCCCTTAAATGATTTTCGAAAGTGGGCGTTATATGGGAGCTATGACCAATTGTGGACCTACTGAGATCTATGTTGATAGCATGATTTCTGTTCATATTATATTTGCATGTACAAAATTTTGTGTTGATATCGATTTCTTTGTATGAGGCTATGGGAAATTTTGAATCGATTATTTGGATTTCCAACATAATTTATCCCTGGATAAAAAAAATAATCTTTTGTAGTTGCTGAGAAAACGACTTAAGAATTACGAAAAAAACCTGTAATTTTTTGGATTTAGTCTGAAATTTTCACTCATTGATTTTTAACGTGTGAACCGATTTTGCTGATTTTCAATACCAAACTGCTTAGGACAACAGTGAATATGTTTGGTGAATTTGTTTTTTTTTTCATTTGCATAGTTTTAACGTGAGCATGTGTTAGGCAGACAGACAGACAGACGGACATAGCTAAATCGACTCAGAATTTGATAAGGACCCAGAATATATATACTTTGTTGGGTCTCAGAAGAATATTTCTTGTTATTACACACGGAATGACAAACTTATATATACCCTCTATCACCACTGATGGTAGTGGAGGATATAAAAATGTTGGTGGTTAAATTAAAAATTATTTATTCACTTCTTTTTATCATTTTGACCATATAACGTAAATCTGTCAATATAAACGTAATGTTTTTAGAATTTTTCATTACATTTAATATAAAAGGTTTAATATACTCTTCATTTGAAGTTTGAATTGAATTATAAATTTTGTAAAAACAAAACAAATGTATTATATAAGTTATACTTGAGTCCACGTTTATGTGACAATGTATAATTCTTACATAATATTGTTAACTAGAGTTTATAATAGTTTAAAACAGTTAAATATTGCAAAGAAAAAAATAAACAATGGAAAAAAAAAGTTGTAAAGATATTGTCATTCTACCGGAAGTTTTTAACAATTAATGCATTTTCCGGGAATATGTATATTTGTATGGGAGGTATATGAAAATGTGGACCTATTCCGCCCATTTTTATCAGGGATCAATTGGAAACAATTGTGTGGTGATTTTTATGAAATTATATCGCAAATTTTTGTGAAAATTGTATTAGAATGTGTTAAAAAAAGCTAAATTTTTTTAATTTTGATTCATAACTCTTTCCGATTTAAACCGATTTTGCTCATTTTCAATAGCAAACTGCCTAGCATAATAGTGAATCTTTTGGCAGAAGTTCATTAATTTATTTAGCATCGTTTCAGACAGACAGACGGGCATAGCTAAATTTAGTCAGAATTCGATAAGGACCCGGAATATATATACTTTGTTGGGTCTCAGATGAATATCACCCTCTATCACCATTGATGGTGGTGGCGTGTATAACAAGTTATAGTGCTATATTCGGCTATGCCGAATCTTAAATACCATCCACCAGCAAGCTCGTTTTTATTAAAACCCATTTTGTTTCCGTAGGGAGGACCTTAAATAGTGAGTGGAACTTATATTAATTAGGTCGAAAACAATTATATTATGGGCTTCTTAAGAGAATGATTTGTATATTCACAAACCATGTTCATGTCGTGTAGTACTCCGACGTCAAATATTATAGCACAATGACTTATATATACACAGAACATGCTCATGTTTACAAAACATATTGAAGTTGAATTTGATCTCGATAACTTAAATTGTCAATGAATTTGAGCATTTATGTTATTTTTCGAAATGATCCTTATATGAGCGTTGTGGGCAATTATGGACCGATCCTGGAAAAATCTCGCATTATGTTTTGTATACATACAAAACATATTCACGTCGAATTTTATCCAAATAGCTTTATTAGTTATTGAAATATGTGGGTTTAAGTGATTTTCGGAAGTTGACCTTATATGGTAGCTATGGCTAATTACGAGCCTATACAGAAAAAAAATCGTAGAGTTATTGATACATACAGAAAACATTTATTTATTTGTATATTAAAATACAATTACAAATTATATTCTAACCTAATTTACCGGTGACGATGACCATATGCCCGTTGTAGTGTAACATACCAGAATCTCTGGTGGGAATCGAAGCCACAACCCCCAGACTGACAGGCTAGCACACTACCAACTAGCCTCCGGGTACCCATACTCAAAACATATTCGTTCCGAATTTTATCTCGATAGCTTTATTTATTAATGAAATATGCGCGTTTAAGTAATTTTCGAAAGTGGGCCTTATATGAGAGCTAAGACTAATTGTAGACTGATTGGAAACAAATTTCGCTGAATGATTTATATACATACATATATACAAAACATATTCGTGTCCAGTTTTTCCCCGATAGATATATTAGTTAATGAAATATGAGCGTTTAAGTGAATTTCGAAATAGGAATATATATTGCAGCTACGCCAATTATGGATCGATTCGGGAAAAAAGAGTTATTGATACGTACCAAAACATTTTCATGTCGAATTTTATCTCGATAACTTATTTATCAATACACTATAGCGTTAAAGTGATTTTTGGAAGTGGACCGTTTATGGGCACTAGGACCAATTATGGGGCCGATACAGATCTACGGCGGTAATGGATGGATGTTTAGTTGAGTTATAAACAAAAGAGAAAGAGGGGGAGAGAGAGATAGAAGAGACAAGATAAGAGAGAGAGAGAGAGAAGAGAGAGAGAGAGAGAGGAGATAGAGAGATAGAGTAGAGAGAGAGAGAGATATAGAGATTATAGAGAGATAGATAGATAGATATAGATATGATAGAGAGTAGATATAGATATATAGTATGAAGATAGAAATATAATATATATATAATATAGATATAAGATTATAATATATAAGACATCGACATAATATGTATATATATATATATTATATATATATATATATATATATATATTATATATATATATATATATATATATATAATACATACATACATGGGTGTTCATTCCTACTTTTGTACGTACATTTTTATATGTACGACATAAATGTTTGTCTGCTTTGAAATAATTAC